TAGCCGGGCGTGGTGGCAGGTGCCTGTAGTCCCAGCTACTCAGGAGGCTGAGGCAGGAGAATGGCTTGAACCCGGGAGGCGGAGCTTGCAGTGAGCTGTGATCGTGCCACTGCTCTCCAGCCTGGACGACAGAGCGAGACTCCATCTCAAAAACAAACAAACAAACAAACAAACAAACAAAAACAGAAGAAGCAGCAGCATGGCTGGAAGGGAGTGAGGGGCAGGGGACGGGGCAAGGGAACCACAGATTTGCCCTTGAGAAAGGTCACTCTAGCTTCAGAGTGGAGAACAGGTTGTTGGGGACTTAGAAAGAATACTGGGAAGTAATTTAGGAGAAAGGTGACAGCAGTTTAGAATAGGATGGGGGGGAATGGAAAGAAACAGACAGATTTGAGAGCCACTTAGCAGGTTAAGCAACAGAATTTGCAGGTGCATTATCTAGATGGGTAAGGGAAGAAATGAAAGAAAGGGAAGGGAAAAGGGTGAGTCCCAGGTTTTTGGCCTGCACAGAGTGCCATTCACCGAGACCAAGGAAAGAAGAAAATGTGCTTGGAGGGGGTGTGGAGAGGACTTGGAATTTGGGTGGGGTCCAACTGGGCTCCCATTGTTTTGGAGTCCTCCAGGAGGTGGTGCCATCCAGAAAGATGGGTCTGGAGCTCACAGGGGAGGGCTGGGTGGGCCCCAGAGCGTTTGGGAGGTGGACGGAGCCTCTTCTCCCTGCCGCAGATCCCTATGTCTGTCCCGGAAATCAGCTCCTCCCAGCATCCTGTCAAAACCGGCCTATCGGACGCCTTCATGATTCTCAATCCATCCCCGGATGTGCCAGGTGAGTCTCCAGGGACCCCGCAGAGGCCTTGATGGGGGTAGGACTCCGTTCAGACTGAACCTGAGCTGCTGGGGGGATGGCAGTGGCAGGGAGTAGACAAGGGGCAAAGAGCTGACAGGGAAACCAAAGAGGAAAAGAGGCCCAGTGACTTCCAGCTTTTCTTTGTTATAGCAGAGGGACCATCTTCTCCAGCAAAATCTCCAATGGGAGGCACTGCTCTGGTTGTTGAGGGGAAAGGGAGCCACAGCCCTTCCACTCAGCCCCTGTTCCATGTAGAAAACCTCCAAAGATGCCCTAGTAAAGATTTTGAGTCCTCCCAGAACACAACCATCGTGGCCTTCCCACTCCAGGTGATAAAAGGAGCATCATAGGACGCCAGGAGACAGGAATCCAGCCTCGGCCACGCCGTTACCTCCCTGTCCTTCAGGAAACCACATCATCTTTCTAGCCTCAGTTGCCTCATCTACAAAATGGGGGAGTAGCTGAAGCAGTGCTTCTCCCTCCCAGGCCATCTTCCAGTGCTGACATTTTTGGAGATCATAGCTCTTTCTCCCCTGCCCCTGCTGTCGACCCCCACTGCATGCTTACAAGGGTCTTGGATTTGTACTCCTGGGGAGGTGGCAGGCATCCCATCCACTGCTGCTCCTTCTAGACCCTTGACTCAGAGACTGTTTAACCTGACCTCTTCTGCTGCGCCATATGCACAAGTTCTGCCATGTAGGACCCCGGGAGGTCTGGGGAGGAGCCTTTGTCTGCCCTTCCCACCCCACCTGGGCCTTGATGGGGCCTGGGGGCATTCTCAACTCCACTCTCGCCATGCCAGGCTGGATGGAAGGACACGCTTGGGAGCCACCAAGTCACCTTCCTGTAGAGGGGCAAGGTACCGCCGTTCTGTGAAATCAGGGCTTCCCGGGGGAGACATCGTTGCCTATTTCTGTTCAATTCCAGTACTCGTGTTCTGAGTTCCTACCTACACACTGGGCCACTATGTTCCAGGCGCTGTTGAGATACAGTGAAGAGGAAGGGCATCTGCCCTTGAGGCATTCAGCACCTGAGCACAGCCTTTTTTTTTTTTTTTTTTGAAACAAAGTCTTGCTCTGTCATTCAGGATGAATGCAGTAGTGCAATTTCAACTCACTGCAGCCTCCACCTCCCAGGTTCAGGTTATCCACCCACCTCAGCCTCCCAAGTAGCTGGGGCCATAGGCACATGCCACCATGCCTGGCTAATTTTGTTATTTTTTGTAGAGACAGGGTCTTGATATGTTTCCCAGGCTTGTCTCAAACTCCTGAACTCACACGATCCTCCCATCTTGGCCTCCCAAAGTGCTGGGATTACAGACGTGAGCCACCCTGCCCAGCCAAGCCTCTGTCTTTAACAGAAATTTGAGGGTTGGGGAATAATGGGGCCTTTAATTAATTTATTTATTTTTAATCTGAAGGAAAGGACCAGGGCTTAGTTAAAAGGCTTTACCAGTACCTTCTGTATGCAAAGTTCAGCGGAGTGTTAGGGGCTCAGCTCTGGAACTGGAAGCCTGAGCTGGAGTCCACACTTTCCACAAGCATCTGACCTCTGGTGAGTCACTTAAGCTCTCTGCGTTTATTTCTTTATCTGTAAAATGGGGATAAGAGTGATACTTTGCCCCTACAGCTGCTGCAAATATGCAGGCGATAGTGTATGTAAAGTGTTGGGCCCAATGTCTGGCACATCAGGCTGTGAGTCCTGTATAAGAATATCTTACTGTGGTAAACTTTATAACTCAGTATTTTATTTTTATTTTTATTTTTTTGAGACGGAGTCTCGCTCTGTCGCCCAGGCTGGAGTGCAGTGGCCGGATCTCAGCTCACTGCAAGCTCCGCCTCCCAGGTTCACGCCATTCTCCTGCCTCAGCCTCCCGAGTAGCTGGGACTACAGGCGCCTGCCACCTCGCCCAGCTAGTTTTTTGTATTTTTTAGTAGAGACAGGGTTTCACCGTGTTAGCCAGGACGGTCTCGATCTCCTGACCTCGTGATCCACCCGTCTCGGCCTCCCAAAGTGCTGGGATTACAGGCTTGAGCCACCGCGCCCGGCCAATAACTCAGTATTTTATAATCCAACAGGACACCTGGTTCTGTAGCGAACAGTGCAGGACTCGGAACAAGCGGAGTCCTCATACTGGTGTTGCAGGTCAGATGCTGCCACCACAGTAATTTCATACTTTCATGCAGCTTTTGTGACTAGGGACAAAAAGTCGCATGTGGTAGTGGCACAGAGTTTCCATACCTTTACTTGTTTGCACATCCCTCTTTGAGATTTTTGCCATTTCTGTGAATTACTATTCTATTTTTTGAGATGGAGTCTCGCTCTGTTGCCCAGGCAGTGCAGTGGCGCGATCTTGGCTCACTACAACCTTTGCCTCCTGGGTTCAAGTGATTCTCCTGCTTCAGCCTCCTGAGTAGCTGGGTTTACGGGCGCCTGCCACCATGCCTGGCTAATTTTTGTGTTTTTAGTAAAGACGGGGTTTCACCATGTCGTCCAGGCTGGTCTCGAACTCCTGACCTCAGGTGATCTGCCTGCCTCGGTCTCCCAAAGTGCTGGGATTACAGGAGTCAGCCACCATGCCCAGCCATGAATTACTATCCATTATTATTATTATTATTATTATTATTATTAGAGACAGGGTCTCAGGCTGGAGTGCAGTATCCCTCATAGTAGCTCACTGCAGCCTCAAACACTTGGGCTCAAGCCATCCTCCCATCTCAGCCTCCCAAGAAATTGGGGCCACAGGCACATGCCACCATGCCCGGCTAATCTTTAAATTTTGTTTGTAGAGATGGACAGGGTCTTCCTATGTTGCCTGGGGTGGTCTCAGACTCCTGGGCTCAAGCTAACCTCCCCTGCAAGCCTCCCAATGTGCTGGGATTTCTGGCCTGGGTCACTGCGCCCAGCCTATTTACTAATGCATTTCTTTATCTTCATTTATAAAATTATATTTTTTCATGAATAAATGTATCTAGTCTAAAATGCAAAAGATATAAAAGGATGTACAGAGAATAGATTTTTCACCTGCCCCTGAACTCTGTCTCTGTTTCCTGTCTCTCATTTCCCCTCCCTGGAGGCAAAGGGAGGGGAAACCAGGGTTCTGGGTTATCTCCAGAGCTGCAAGCCTTCAGGTAAGAGTGTGTGTGTGTGTGTGTGTGTGTGTGTGTGTGTGTGTGTATTTGATATTAATGGCTGCGTGATAGTCCATTCCATGGATGGACTTTAATTTAACCTGTCCCCTGGGGGTAGACTTTTCAGTTGTTTTCAATCTTGGGCTATAACAAATAATACAGCCGGGCGCGGTGGCTCACGCCTGTAATCCCAGCACTTTGGGAGGCCGAGGCGGGCGGATCACAAGGTCAGGAGATCGAGACCACGGTGAAACCCCGTCTCTACTAAAAATACAAAAAATTAGCCGGGCGCGGTGGCGGGCGCCTGTAGTCCTAGCTACTCAGGAGGCTGAGGCAGGAGAATGGCATGAACCCGGGAGGCGGAGCTTGCAGTGAGCCGAGATCGCGCCACTGCACTCCAGCCTGGGCGACAGAGCGAGACTCCGTCTCAAAAAAAAAAAAAACAAATAATACAGCAGGTACTTTCATGCCCCTGTGTATTTCCATACACTATATTCTCAGTAGTTCAATCATTGGGTCAAAGGGCAGGGGCATTTACAATTTTGACAGCTGTGGCCAAAGTGTGTTCCATGGAGACTCCAGCCCTTTACCCACCTCATCGGTGGGCATGCCTGTCACCTACTCTTCTGCTTTCCGTGTGTCCCAAGGCAAGGTCTGGGCTGTGGCTGCCGCCATCTAATGAGTTGCCTCGAGCCCCCCCAAGGGCTGTGGTGAGAATTGGCTGAGATATCTGTGCACAGAGCACCAGGCACAGTGCCTGGCTTGGGCGGGTTTCCCAGTAAAGGCTGGTTAGCACCCACTGAGCATCTCGCCCCGGTCCACATCTTCATCTGGGCAGATCCGTGGGTGGGGTGGGTGGCACTCAAGGATCAAGGGGCTGGTGGATGGGGCCTGGTTTATTTCCAACAGGCCAGGAGTTCTCACATGTGGTGGCTCACACATGTAATCCCAGCACTTTGGGAGGCCGAGATGGGCAGATCACCAGGTCAGGAGATCGAGACCATTCTGGCTAACATGGTGAGACCCCATTTCTACTAAAAATAAAAAATAAAAAATGGAAAAAATTAGCCAGGTGTGGTGGCGGGTGCCTGTAGTCCCAGCTACTTGGGAGGTGGAGAATGGTGTGAACCCGGGAGGCGGAGCTTGCAGTGAGCTGAGATTGAGCCACTGCACTCCAGCCTGGGTGACAGAGCGAGAGTCCGTCTCAAAAAAAAAAAAAAAAATTAGCTGGGTGTGGTGATGGGCACCTATAATCCCAGTTACTCGGGAGGCTGAGGCAGGAAAATTGCATGAACCCGAGGGGCAGAGCTTGCAGTGAGCCTAGATCGCACCATTTGACTCCTCACACCACTCACTCACCATTTCACTGGGTGAAAGAGTGAAACTCTGTCTCAAAAAAAAGAAAAAAAAGTGTTAGCCAGGGTCACAGTTACCCCCATGATGGGGTGGCAGGTGGGGAGGGTTGGGACCTGCTTCAGAACTTTCATGTGGCTTGGCAGGATTCAGGATTCAAGATGCAGGACTCAGGATTCAGGATTCAGTTCCCCAGGGAGGCCTTCTTTGGCTCCTTGCCTGGTAAACTTCCCCATGATGCGGCAGCTGGTTTCCATCAGAATAGGCAAGCGAGACAGCAGCAGAGGGCGAGGAAGATGCAAACCAGGGTCTTTTTATAGCTTAATTTTAGAAGTAACATCCTCTCTTTTTTGTTTTTTTCCCCCCATATTCTGCTGGCTAGAAGCAAATCACAGGTCCAGTCTACATTCAGGGACTGGATTGTACCTGGACGTGGATACCAGGCAGCAACCGTAGAGGCTCTTTGGGGGCGTGTTAGCATCCGCCTACTACACT